CCTCTGAGCCATGTTCCTTTAAATCGATGGCAACTTTTTTACGCTTTTAGTATTTGTTCATCGTCATCATCATCACCTTTCTCTGGATCGTTCTCCTCCCATTCTTCATATAATCGCTCAAGATCAGCTTCACTGAAACGGAAACCACTTCAAGTACGGCCGCTTAGAATGGCACGTCTGATGGCTACCTCGCAGCCAGGAAGCACCAGCTCAACCAAAGCCCGAACTCCGTTTTCTGAGAATATCGCTCTCGTTTTGTTGGATTCGCTAGGTGGCCTGGTTTGGGAACCACTTCAATGTATGAAGACAAGCATTGCTAAAGTCAGCGCGGAATAGCCCTCTAGGCTGGCTTCGGGGTTGCGAGGGAATCGTCAGAAACGTCTCAGATTCTCCTTTCTCCGAATGTACGCCAGACCTCACATTGCAATGCCAACTCACCACGTTCTGAGGGAGATAGCCAGGGCCACGATACCTCATCCACCATATAGCATTGGCATCGCTCTATCGGACTATCGCCTCCCCTGCGCCCTGAATAAGCATCTGCCAGAGAAGAAAGTTAAAGATTGCGACCACCCCAAAAACGACTTCTCCAAATTCTTCAACCCCCAGCTTCCTTCATTCTGGGCTGGAAGCTTCCAAACGCTCACTAGCAAATGCACGCATATCAGTGACCATGATGGTGGTTATGCTATTGATCAGTTGTTTCCTAGAAGAGATAAAACTTGGATAAACAAAAGTGTCGAAATTGCGACAAGAATTATGAGACAACCCAATAGTTGTAGTGTGAGCTAGTTATATAAATAAAAAAGGGGAAGGGAGAGGCCGCCGGCAGTGGAGTGAGGGACAGTGCAGAAGGGCAGTGGGCCTGCCAACACTGCAAGTTCCCACGGGCGTGAATGGGAATAAGGGTCAACCCTATGTTGCTACAAGTAGCAACGGGGGGGGTCGTACTTGGATGGACCCGGAGGGGGGGGGTCGTACTCTCTCGGTGGCCGGCAGTGGGATTTGTGGTAATCTCCCTACTGATCATAACCATGTTTCAGGAAGAGCATGAGAAAGGAAGACTTGCAGAAACAGCAGCTGCAAGACATGTAGCATCGTTCAAAAAAGTACTCCCACCATGACATGGGTCCACCCACGAAACCACATTTGAAACTAAAGTGTAGCTGGAGTATTGCCTAAGACAACATGGACAATAGTCACCACATTACGTTTACGCAAGATAATTGATGCTAGAGCATCTGTAAGCCGCTTCCTTCTGAATGAGCTTTCAAATGAGTCAGCGAATCAGGAGAATTCATTGGAGTGTCAACACCAGCCCGATGGTCAGACGTCTTCACGAGAGGAAAAGCCTGATAACTGCGAATAAGTTTCATGAAGCAAGAATGAATTTCAACGAAGAAACACGGGGTGGCTGTATCATTTTTGAACATAGGAAAATCGACCACTTCTGAAAAAATTAGCACAAAATTTTTGGCGTTTTCAACATGGATTTTCGTGTTGATATCTGAACTCGCCATGAAATTTGTCACATTTTCTATCTGGACAGTTTTTCAGAAACTCTATGAACTTTAGTTTTCGAACAAATTTTAGGTGGCTGTATCATTATTGAACGCAGTGTATTTATTCAGCACAGTATACATCACCATTATTACCAACATATAACCAATGCGAGGGTGGGTATTCAGTGTCCCTCTTGTAGAATTTCATAGAGTTCTGATCGAAGAAATATTGGATGTCGATTTTGACTTTATGGTGATTCAAGTGAGATTTCTTCTCCAGAAGGTGATTGAGAGAGGAGAGCGGATAGTCGTTCGTTGACGCAGGATTAGTGCTATAAGGCGGAGCTAAAAGAACTGACCGCCCGAGAGTCTCCAATTTTTTAGGAATTTTCTTAGCAAGGCGGGCTCGAACGACCTCAGAGAAAAATAGATTTTGTCTTCCTTTGCTTTCAAGTTGAAGGCGTTGCCATCAAGCTGTCAACGATTCTTCCCATCACTGACACTGGTATTAGTTGATGCCGGTCTTCAGCGCAAAGGCCCTCCCGTATTGCGCCAACGACTCAGGAAGTTCGAATTCAGAGGGAGTTGGGTTTGTACTGTCAGAACTCCCGAATCGTTTGAGCAAATCTACTGCGGCTCGTGGATTTGTTAGCACATTGCACCCAGTCCACATCACCAATGAGTATTATAGATGGTCATCCGAAGGAACTATAGGAAACCAACAGGAACTTGATGATGTCAGATTGGGTTGAGAACTGATTCGGGACTACAATTTTCCTTCGATCAGAACTCTATGAAAGTCCACAAGAGAGGCACTGAATACCCACCCTCGCATTGGCGATATGTTGTTAATAATAATGATGTATACTATGCTGGATAAGTAGATCAGAGAAATAAGATAAGTAATAAATCGAAAAACACCAAAGGTTCTCAAAAATTGTGGACCGACCTAATAATAGATGGAATAGTATTGAATTTCATTCATTTCGACCGTTATAACAAAGTGTCTCATAAAATAGAAACTCAGACCCATAGAAAAACATCAAGGAACTCATCAGCCAATGACACAACAAGATGCTTCAAAATATGAGAGTTGCTCATAATTACTGTCGCATTTCTATTCAGTTCCAAACCAGAATGTTGAAGAACGCTTCAAGAGCTTTAACAGTATGGTTTCGGAAACGCGAGCCCGTAATGGGTTAATCAACTAGAAATAAAAATAGGTCATTGACTATAACGAATGATTATGCTTTACGATCCTCAAATGAACTCTGTAGCAAGGAGGACAACAGAGAAGACCAGCGCTGTGTTTGACTCAGTCTCTGCTACTGATAGGGTACTGAGCTAGTGGACCAATCGCAACGGCAAAGACGAAACGAGCTATGAACTTCAACCTCATACTGGGCCTGCGGTCATTTTTGATGAGCGCCCCTTGCACCCTAAATTGGGAGTGCCTCCGTACGTTGCTACCAGGGTATTGTAGCAGATACCTGAGCGCAGCCGATGCACCAGCACACGCCATCAGTATGGCAAGGACTGCTGCAGAATGAAGTTTTGATGGAAACCTTATGGTCCGGCCGACCATGAGCGAGAAGCACGTCTGACCATCTGGGAAAAATCCATTCTGGGACGGCAAAAGCAGAACCTTCCTTAGTCGGTCACTAGTGGAGATGAGTCATGAGTCCCACGTCAACGAACGACTATCCGCTCTCCTCTCTCAATCACCTTCTGGAGAAGAAATCTCACTTGAATCACCATAAAGTCAAAATCGACATCCAATATTTCTTCGATCAGAACTCTATGAAATTCTACAAGAGGGACACTGAATACCCACCCTCGCATTGGTTATATGTTGGTAATAATGGTGATGTATACTGTGCTGAATAAATACACTGCGTTCAATAATGATACAGCCACCTAAAATTTGATTGAAAACCTAAAGTTCATAGAGTTTCTGAAAAACTGTCCAGGTAGAAAATGTGCCATTTTGTGCTAATTTTTTCAGAAGAGGTCGATTTTCCTATGTTCAAAAATGATACAGCCACCCCGTGTTTCTTCGTTGAAATTCATTTTTGCTTCATGAAACTGATTCGCAGTTATCAGGCTTTCACCTTAATGTTCCCACAAGATAAAAAAGACAGTTTGGTTTTGAAAAAAGGTAAACTGTAGCAAAAAAGGACCAGGAATCGTCAAGCAGTCATATTGCGCAAAAATTGAGTCAAAGCTCCAATACGGTTAACAATCTTTTCTGGAATCCTGTAGGTTATGGAACAAGAAGAGCTCTGGATGTTCATCATTGCTTTTTGGTCAATTTAAACTTCGCATTTTGGGGAAACATTTCAATTTCATCGAACAGTGCCCGGAATTCCAGTCTTCTTTCAAAATTAAACTTTCAATGGATATTGTTTGGGATGTGTTGAAGATTTTCCGAGGTCATTCTTCAATGGAGAATCAAAGAAACCTTGTTTGTGAAAAGAAATTCTCTCGAAAACTGAGACATTTTTTGCTCGAAAGTGTAGCCACGTCCACTGGAGCAAGATCAGTTCTTTTGTCTGTTGTGTCTGCGTTTCTCTCAATGTTTTTCGCTTCATAGGAGTCTAATGAAAGGAAAAACCCTTAATGAGGAAGGAAAAACTCGAAAGAAAGTAAACAGAAAGTAAGACACAACAGACAAAAGAACTGATCTTGCTCCAGTGGACGTGGCTACACTTTCGAGCAAAAAATGTCTCAGTTTTCGAGAGAATTTCTTTTCACAAACAAGGTTTCTTTAATTCTCCATTGAAGAATGACCTCGGAAATCTTCAACACATCCCAAACAATATCCATTATAAAGTGAAAGCCTGATAACTGCGAATCAGTTTCATGAAGCAAAAATGAATTTCAACGAAGAAACACGGGGTGGCTGTATCATTTTTGAACATAGGAAAATCGACCTCTTCTGAAAAAATAAGCACAAAATTTTTTAGTGTTTTCAACATGGATTTTTGTGTTGATATCTGAACTCGCCATGAAATTTGTCACATTTTCTATCTGGACAGTTTTTCAGAAACTCTATGAACTTTAAGTTTTCGAACAAATTTTAGGTGGCTGTATCATTATTGAACGCAGTGTATTTATTCAGCACAGTATACATCACCATTATTACCAACATATAACCAATGCGAGGGTGGGTATTCAGTGTCCCTCTTATAGAATTTCATAGAGTTCTGATCGAAGAAATATTGGATGTCGATTTTGACTTTATGGTGATTCAAGTGAGATTTCTTCTCCAGAAGGTGATTGAGAGAGGAGAGCGGATAGTCGTTCGTTGACGCAGGATTAGTGCTACAAGGCGGAGCTAAAAGAACTGACCGCCCGAGAGTCTCCAATTTTTTAGGAATTTTCTTAGCAAGGCGGGCTCGAACGACCTCAGAAAAAATAGATTTTGTCTTCCTTTGCTTTCAAGTTGAAGGCGTTGCCATCAAGCTGTCAACGATTCTTCCCATCACTGACACTGGTATTAGTTGATGCCGGTCTTCAGCGCAAAGGCCCTCCCGTATTGCGCCAACGACTCAGGAAGTTCGAATTCAGAGGGAGTTGGGTTTTACTGTCAGAACTCCCGAATCGTTTGAGCAAATCTACTGCGGCTCGTGGATTTGTTAGCACACTGCACCCAGTCCACATCACCAATGAGTATTATAGATGGTCATCCGAAGGAACTATAGGAAACCAACAGGAACTTGATGATGTCAGATTGGGTTGAGAACTGATTCGGGACTACAATTTTCCTTCGATCAGAACTCTATGAAAGTCCACAAGAGAGGCACTGAATACCCACCCTCGCATTGGCGATATGTTGTTAATAATAATGATGTATACTATGCTGGATAAGTAGATCAGAGAAATAAGATAAGTAATAAATCGAAAAACACCAAAGGTTCTCAAAAATTGTGGACCGACCTAATATAATGTTATATTATATTTATTATCATCAGTTCGACGTTATAACAAAGGTGGCTCATAAAATAGAACTCAAGTACCCATAGAAAGAACATCAAGGAACTCATCCAATGAACATCAACAAGTGTTCAAAATATTGGGTTGTCTCATAATTACTGTCGCATTTCTATTCAGTTCCAAACCAGAATGTTGAAGAACGCTTCAAGAGCTTTAACGGTATGGTTTCGGAAACGCGAGCCCATAATGGGTTAATCAACTAGGAATAAAAATAGGTCAGTGACTATAATGAATGATTATGCTTTACGATCCTCAAATGAACTCTGTAGCAAGGAGGACAACAGAGAAGACCAGCGCTGTGTTTGACCCAGTCTCTGCTACTGATAGGGTACTGAGCTAGTGGTCCAATCGCAACGGCAAAGACGAAACGAGCTATGAACTTCAACCTCATACTGGGCCTGCGGTCATTTTTGATGAGCCCCTTGCACCCTAAATTGGGAGTGCCTCCGCACGTTGCTACCAGGGTATTGTAGCAGATACCTGAGCGCAGCCGATGCACCAGCACACGCCATCAGTATGGCAAGGACTGCTGCAGAATGAAGTTTTGATGGAAACCTTATGGTCCGGCCGACCATGAGCGAGAAGCACGCCTGACCATCTGGGAAAATCCATTCTGGGACGGCAAAAGCAGAGCCTTCCCTAATCGGTCACCAGTGGAAGATGAGTCATGAGTCCACTGCGACAACAACATGCGGCACGTCTGATGGCTACCTCGCAGCCAGGAAGCACCAGCTCAACCAAAGCCCGAACTCCGTTTTCTGAGAATATCGCTCTCGTTTTGTTGGATTCGCTAGGTGGCCTGGTTTGGGAACCACTTCAATGTATGAAGACAAGCATTGCTAAAGTCAGCGCGGAATAGCCCCTAGGCTGGCTTCGGGGTTGCGAGGGAATCGTCAGAAACGTCTCAGATTCTCCTTTCTCCGAATGTACGCCAGACCTCACATTGCAATGCCAACTCACCACGTTCTGAGGGAGATAGCCAGGGCCACGATACCTCATCCACCATATAGCATTGGCATCGCTCTATCGGACTATCGCCTCCCCTGCGCCTGAATAAGCATCTGCCAGAGAAGAAAGTTAAAGATTGCGACCACCCCAAAAACGACTTCTCCAAATTCTTCAACCCCCAGCTTCCTTCATTCTGGGCTGGAAGCTTCCAAACGCTCACTAGCAAATGCACGCATATCAGTGACCATGATGGTGGTTATGCTATTGATCAGTTGTTTCCTAGAAGAGATAAAACTTGGATAAACAAAAGTGTCGAAATTGCGACAAGAATTATGAGACAACCCAATAGTTGTAGTGTGAGCTAGTTATATAAATAAAAAAGGGGAAGGGAGAGGCCGCCGGCAGTGGAGTGAGGGACAGTGCAGAAGGGCAGTGGGCTGCCAACACTGCAAGTTCCCACGGGCGTGAATGGGAATAAGGGTCAACCCTATGTTGCTACAAGTAGCAACGGGGGGTCGTTCTTGGATGGACCCGGAGGGGGGGGGTCGTACTCTCTCGGTGGCCGGCAGTGGGATTTGTGGTAATCTCCCTACTGATCATAACCATGTTTCAGGAAGAGCATGAGAAAGGAAGACTTGCAGAAACAGCAGCTGCAAGACATGTAGCATCGTTCAAAAAAGTACTCCCACCATGACATGGGTCCACCCACGAAACCACATTTGAAACTAAAGTGTAGCTGGAGTATTGCCTAAGACAACATGGACAATAGTCACCACATTACGTTTACGCAAGATAATTGATGCTAGAGCATCTGTAAGCCGCTTCCTTCTGAATGAGCTTTCAAATGAGTCAGCGAATCAGGAGAATTCATTGGAGTGTCAACACCAGCCCGATGGTCAGACGTCTTCACGAGAGGTCCGAACGAGGGATCCCTCGATCAGAAAGAGGGTTCCACTGGTCTACTCCTAAACGCAACACGGACGAATGAAGACTTTTTGGCACCTGTTCGAGCAAATGGATGATCAACGCGACAGGTGATACGTGAATTACTGACCTGACATTGGACGTGATTATTGCGAAGCATTGAGCGCCAAAGTTCCGTTATCTTCTCAGTATAAGATCTGTCCTTTTTTGATGGTACTTGCGGATCTCGAACATTTACAAACATCATCAGGGTTTCACCTCTTTTCGTCATTTTGAGTAACTCCTCCGGATTTTTAGCCTAAACAAACACGGCAACAGGAAGAAGTTTAACTAGGTATGATAAGCGAAACTCTCATACCTCTGAGCCATGTTCCTTTAAATCGATGGCAACTTTTTTACGCTTTTGTATTTGTTCATCGTCATCATCATCACCTTTCTCTGGATCGTTCTTCTCCCATTCTTCATATAATCGTTCAAGATCAGCTTCACTGAAACGGAAACCACTTCAAGTACGGCCGCTTAGAATCACGTTGACGATGCCTGAGTAAAAAGCGCATGGAGAGTACACTATATCAAACTGCACCATTGCATATATGCGTAGAGCAAGCAGGCCGACAACTGCACGGCCACAACTTCAACTCAATTCTGAGCAAAATATCAGGAATAAGTTGCATTCCTATATTTAAGGAGTGCCTCGCCATTTGTAGCTCTTTTGTTTTAGATGAATACACCGTACATATTCGGAAACCACAAAAATGACAAGCGATGAACAAAATCCCTCGAAGGCATGTCCAAAATGTTTAGATCCATGGCGATATTACACCCATGTGTAGGTATCCTAGCGGTCCTTTCGTGTGCCGAATGCGAAGTCATTTCCGTCAAGCTGTATGCTCTAGTGGCTTTTGGTTACAAAGCAACGTCGCGTGTCTTGCAGTTCATATTTTGTACTTAGTTCAGGAACTGTGATTTCGCGTAGCAGTGCAAATGTGTTCGCGGCACGGGAGGGTAGGAAAAGTTGCGGGGCGGCTTATCCTTTGTCCTCTCAACGAGATAAATATTGGTGTCACGAGGCATTCGCGAGTGGAAGCGAACACCTGAGTTTAGATTATCCCACTGAGAGGGCTCAGAGAAGCCCCGCGATGATGACTATTCCTCACCCAACTGTGTTGCCAATACGATCTGGTCATATGACCCCTAACCCAAGAATTCGTCGTTTCGCACCACTATCTCGCTGAAAAAGCGCAAATGAGCAGAGCACCACACTACCGACTTTCCTCCCCCTTCACCCAGTCAGCACCCGTTCGGATAGAAGGAGGAAAGGGGAAGGGTGAACAGAAGTCACTTGACATGCATGAAAAGCTGCAATCAGCGATAACACTATTTCGCTAAAGGGAGGGCGCAGGCAGGCAGCGCACCCCTACGACTGTCCCCTACACCTACTGCGCGTTTCATAAACTAAAGCTTCCCTTCGAAAGCTACAAGTGGAAAGGATGTTTTCATTGGCTCGCAAACTTCTGTATCCAATTCCACCATAATCTGAAGCTGTAGTACACTTGATTTTGAGAGAAGGAAAATCATAATACTGACCAGTCCTATCGCCCGGCTACGCCGGGCTTTACTCCTTCTTGTGAGTGTCATTTCGCACATTATAGACTGCCGCTCCCCTTATATTACCTCCTCCCCAACTTAATTCCCTCTTGATCGCGCGCGCAATTTTCGATCTATGCTTTCTCTATCAGTTTTTGGAGCAGTGTACTCCTCTGTGAGCTTCTGAGTACGTACAGTCGATATCCGAAAGTTGGGGTAGGCGTGTCACCGGAAGTGACGTGCACTTGATAGAAGTTGCGTGGATAAGCTGTTGCCAGCATGCTTTGCTGATATTCAGCGATGCATGCTGGAAGGAGCTTATACCACAGCTTCTATCAAGTATAAGTTATAAGTATAGAAGTGCACGTCAGTGACACGCCTACCCCAACTCTCGGATATCGAGTATAAGTTTCCCACATGCCTAATGTTCACCTCTCTCACCCGTTTTCTTGCCATCATTTCACTTCTATATATTAGGTACCGGATATCTTAGTGTCGCTTTTCTGAGTTCAGGAAGTTTTGGGGCCGATTACTATGGAAAATCAATATCTCAGAAGTCCTTTTTGCTCATTAATACTGCGAAATATGTTGCTTATTGTTTTCTATTGTTGGTTCACAATTTAACTTTCCCCCAATTTTTATACTTTTTTTTGAAAATTCCTGGGTCCAGTGTGCAAATTCGCATGTGTGTACCAAATCCTGTTAACAGGATCGGCAGAATACTAGATGAAGGACAGCCATGCGAGCAAGCAGGGTTTCGAAGAGGGTTCAGCACGATCGACCATATCCACACGGTTACAAGACTCATTGAAGTTTCACGAGAGTACAAGATGCCGCTTTTCTCACGTTCATCGACTTGAAGAAGGCCTTCGACTCTGTGGAGACAGAAGCGGTCATCGAAGCCTTGGGCAACCAGGGCGTCCCTACTCAGTACATCAAGATTCTTCGTGAGCTCTACAGCAACTTTACGACCAGAATCTCACCATTCTACAAGGTCATCATCGACGTCAAGAGAGGGGTTCGACAGGGCGACACCATCTCGCCCAAACTCTTCAGCGCCGCTCTCGAGAACGTCATGCGTCAACTGGAATGGGAAGACATGGGAGTGAAGGTCGACGGCCGGCAACTACACCACCTTCGTTTTGCTGACGACATCGTTCTTATAACGCCGAACATCGAGCAAGCGGAGCGAATGCTGGCTGATTTCGACTGCGCCTGTGGTAAGGTCGGTCTACAGCTGAACCTAACGAAGACGATGTTTATGAGAAACGGATTGGTTCCTGATGCCCCATTCACGCTCAACGGAACGAACATCACCGAATGCTCCAGCTACGTGTACCTAGGTCGGGAAATCAATATGATGAACGATCTAGCTCCAGAGCTGAGCAGGAGGAAACGAGCGGCTTGGGGAGCGTACAAGAACATCGAGGGAGTAGTGAAGAAGACGAAGAACATCCGGCTCCGTGCCCACCTCTTCGATTCCGCTGTCCTTCCTGCCCTAACCTACGCCTCAGAGACTTGGACTCTGCGCAGGCAGGACGAGCATGCGGTCAGCGTTATCCAACGCGCTGTCGAGAGGACGATGCTAGGAGTAACCCTATACACGCAAGTGCAGAGGGGAATCCGGAGTTCCGAACTACGCCAACGATCGAAGATCAGGGACGCTGCCGTTTTCGCCAAGGAATCGAAGATAAGGTGGGCCGGACACGTCATGCGATTTTGCGATGACCGTTGGACCAGAGCGGTTACCGACTGGATCCCTCGGGACGTCGAACACTGGACGACCGCCGGCCCGATGGTCAGACTTCTTCACGAAAGCTCTGAACGAAAGGAATGAAGGACTTCGTGTCCCTCGAGCGAGGAGGATCCACTGGACACTCTTGCACGCGACAGGGACGAATGGAGACGTTGCTGGCGCCCGCTCGAGCAAATCGACGATCAACGGGACGACAGGTGATACAGGTGAATGAATGGCGCCCTTCCAGGATAACGCCGCGATTCAGTCGCCGGATTTGCTACCTTCAAGGTTGGTAATCAAGCTTATTACTTGCTCACTAGGGCCCACCGGGACCTTCCTGGGAGGGGGGTGTGGGTCGCAAAAATTTTGAAAAGTGGTGCGAAAGCGATGGTTAACGCTGGCCGACAGGGGTCGCAAGTGTGTACCAAATGCTTCAAAATTCTTGCTGAGAGCTACAACTTCCGCCCACCAAACCAACATTGCATTTGTTGGAGGGAATACTACCATTTAAAATGCTCATCGGTTTTTCACAGTTTTCTCAAAAGACAGTGAAGTCTTTGAAGTGATGCCCGCAATCGTCGTCAAAAAGGTGGCCCTAGTTAAATCAGTCGAGACGGGGCTGCACCAGTCTTGTGCTGAAATGGTAGGACACCTTAGCAGTGACTGATCGATGATGCACATACTTCTTTTGTCCAGGCCTAACTTTTTAGCAAGTGAGAGGGATGATTTGTCAGATGATGTCAAAACCGACCTACCTCTCTTTTTCGACTCAAAAAATTCCTAGCTTTAATCGTACGAGGTTTCCACTCATACTGGTAAATGGGAAAGTGCTAATGAGTCATTCGATGAATATGCTGTTTCACTCCCCGGATTCTGAATTAAAATATTGGTGGTCCGAAACTCGTGGTGAAAAAACGACACTAAGATATCCGGTACCTAATAAATGCATATCAGTCTTCGTTGAGGAGTGATGGCAAGAAAACGTTATGAGAGGTGAGCAGTACTTGCCGCATCTAGGGAACCTACGTAAGCAGAAGCTCATAGAGGAGTACACCGCTCTAAAACTGATAGAGAAACATAGATTAAATATATACAATGTTGAGGGCGCGATTAAGAGAAAGAATTCAAAGTGGGAGGAGCTAATACAAGGGAAGCGGCAGTCTGCAATTTATTCATTTATTTATTTATTTAACATGAACCCTAGGTGTGCCATCGGGAAAAAAACAGCAGTGTTAGTATGATACAACATAAACAAGCAAAATCCTATTTGTGTAAGTAATTTTACCCCAAACAACCGTGCACCAACCAGAAGAGTACGTAAAGGGACATGTAGGAATAAGGATAAGGCCGACGTCATACTTTGCGATTCGATTAGCGATTCGCTCGATTCCCTAGCGATTCGCTAATCGAATCGCAAAGTATGACGTCGGCCTAAGGGAATAAGGATGAAAAGGTATGGAAATCCGAAGCATGGACGATGCGGGCTAGCCGAATCTTAATCTCAAAGAGTTACCACAACAGTCGATGCCATTCAACAAGTCGTGAGAAGCTGCAACCAACTGACTGAATGGTAAAGGGGAGACATCAGGCAGACTATAAGTTAGCAAACTCCACCGCAAGCCATAAAACCTGCGGCGCCAATAGGAAAAAATTCATGGAGAAGAACATGAATGTAGGGTCAGCCTGGGGTGCTAACTTAGTTGGGGGGGGGGGGGCACGCGGCGGCGCGGCAGTCTGCTCGCCTGGCATGTTCGGAAATCCGTGGGCCAGGGGGAGTGTAGGCAGTCTAGGGGGGTGGGGGGTGGGGCAGTCACTTGACATGCGTGAAAAGCTGGAATGTTCGAGTTTACACTGTCTCGCTCGAGAGAGCCCAGGTGAGCAGACTGCCGCGCCGCCGCGTGCCCCCCCCCCCCAACTAAGCACCCAGCCTGGTCAACGTCAACGTCAATAAGACCGACGTCATATTCGGCGACGGACCAAGCGATGGATCGTCGATCGCTCCATCGCTCTCGGTCGAGCGATTGGCAAGCGATTGCGCAATGTGCACAAGCGACGGGCGATTGGCCCCGCCCCCAGTCAATGCAGTCGGCTGCGGTATCGATCGAGCAGAGCCATTGCCCGTCGCTTGCGCAATCGCTTGCCAATCGCTCGACCAAGAGCGATTGGCAAGCGACGGACAAGCGATGGAGCGATCGCGATCGCTCCATCGCTTGTTCCGTCGCCGACTATGACGTCGGTCTAAGCGAAGTTATTCCGAGGCGGGCCGAGGTTGTTGCCTCTTTAAGAATGGGACTCACAAAAAGGGGCACTGTTCCACTATTACTGCCCAAAATCTCAAAATTTTATTTTTCGTCGAAACTTTGCCTATAGGGGTAATTCGATGCCCTGATTACGAAAATGACATTCATTTTTGACGCTGGCGCCATTTGGCGCCACCTTGTCACGACGGCTGTTTTCACCAAATTCGGTGTAAACTTGTACATAGGGGTTATTTGGTGTCCTGATTACGAATATGACATTCATTTTTGCGCTTGCGCCATTTGGCGCCCATTTTCTGCTCGTCTGCGCCCTCGCACTGGTTGATCACTATCAGGACTAAGCCCTTGGGGAAAGGAGGGCTCAGAGGTGAGTGAGCCACTCACCCTGATATCACACACTTCAACTTTTGTCACATGCTGCGTGGTTTACCCACCTCGGAGTCCTCCTTCTCCAATAAGCTTAGTCTTAAGCACAATGTATAAGTGAGAGAGCCCAGGAGAGCAGAAAATATGCGTTAGACAGCGCCAATTCCAAAAACGAATGTCATATTCGTAATCAGGACACCAAATAACCCCTATGTACAAGTTTACACCGAATTTGGTGAAAACAGCCGTCGTGACAAGGTGGCGCCAACTGGCGCCAAATGGCGCCAGCATCAAAAATGAATGTCATTTTCGTAATCAGGGCATCGAATTACCCCTATAGGCAAAGTTTCGACGAAAAATAAAACTTTGAGATTTATAATAGTGGAATAGTGCTCAAAAAGGGGTAGAGCCCAGCTACGCCGGGCGATACAACTAGTATAAGGAAAATTTAAAGTGTCAACATACTTTTCCTACGCACTATGTTAGTTTTGCACTACGGAGCGTGATAGGCCAGCCGTGAAATATTATGAAAGAAACCTGTAGCTGGTAACATCCTTCTTTCCTCGTGATGAACCGGTCGGCGAAGGAATCTGCGAAGGACGTACGAAAAGAGTTTCGTCCAAAATAAAGGTGACTACGACCACTAGAAGAAACCGTAACATCTAAAAAGAAGACCGGAAAGTATATTCAACTCCACCAATGCTTATCGAAACTTTTGAAGAAAGATTACAGATTACAAAAGTCAACAGAAGGATGTGAGAGCAGTGTGTCCTAAAGTGGCAAATCGACTTCTACCATTAGTGCTGTTCGATCTAATGGGTAGATAAACCGCTATGATTTGATGGCAGGGGTTCGAAATCTTCGAAATGAATTCTTTGGACTGTGGACCATGACTTAACACCTTCAAACTTTCTTTCTAATGAAATTTCGAACCCAAAGCCTCATCTGATCTAGCTACGAGGAAGGAACCTAGGATGAATTTTGCTAAGTTCTTCTAGAGCTGTGTGCAAAATCGTGATTGAGAATCTCCGCAAAAGAACTCAAATGCCGATTTCGAGGAAAGCATTGCCCAAATGTGTTGGTCATAATAAGTCAAATCGAAATTACGCAAACCCAATTTTGCGTGAAGCTCGAAATTTCCACACTTGTTAAGACACCCTGTAAATAGGTCCAATCGATCGCCATCCAGATCAAGAACAAACGTGCATATATGTGAGGAGTAGGCAGTATTACAGAGCAGCGAAAAGGCCAACATATACTCGATATCGGTGAGTTGGGGTGGGCGTGTCACCGGAAGTGACGTGCACTTGATAGAAGCTATGTGGATAAGCTGCTTCCAACATACATCGCTGGATATCAGCAAAGCATGCTGGCAACAGCTTATCCACGCACTTCTATCAAGTGCACGTCACTTCCGGTGACACACCCACCCCAACTTTCGGATATCGACTGTAAGTGGAATGCGAAGTGAGGAGGGAGCGATGGTCAAGCTCAGACTACCCCACTCTGCACTGTGCAAATCGAAGCCTTTGACGAAGAAAGGAACTGTGGTCAAAGCGACCACTCTTAAGATATATGTCCGTAGTGTTCCAAACAAGAGCGAAAGTTAAGGACGGCGAACATTTCGGACACCGTAACCTAGGCGTGCCATTGGTGTTGCGTGCCGTTGCGGACACACACCCTAACTGCCGACCCCTCACTAAATAATCGAGAAACTTTCCTTGCACGAGAATGGCCTAAAAAAGCTTTGGGAGAAATAACGCAACATTCACAAGTTTCAATATTTTTTCAAGAGCTCTAATCGTAAGCTTCCATTTCCTAATTAGCTTCAATGAGCTGTGAAAAGATAGTTACAAGGGAGTTATACGTTTGAATGAAAAAAACTCACGCGTAAAAGTCGGACGACAAATCCTGAAAAGTGGAACAACTATTTTTCGAGAGAAAGATCCTTGAAAATTTTTGTGTTTTTTCGAGAACACTGATCCCCTAACTTCCGATTAGCCTCGGAGCAAAAAGTTCATCATAAAGAGAATGCTGAAGAACTATCTGACCTTTAAATAAAGAGGTTCGGAATTAGTGCAACGATCAGCTTTCCCCTTTATAAATTGGAGTTTTGGAAGTTTGAAGAAAACTAGGTAGATCCTTGACAGTAGGGTTCTTTGGGAGTACAAATGTAACTAGGTTCTAAAATGTTAGAAGTTAATCTTATTGAAAGTGAAATTCATGTCGTCTCGAGTCATCCTCAGGGAGACAACGCACGCGACGTTTTACCCTTCCCACTGCTCATCTCCTTCCATAATAAAATTATTGATTTTGTATTGACATGCCATACATTATAGGTACATGTCGATGACGGCCCCTATACCGCCCGCGAATATCTAGAGCATAGACGAATAGAGAAAGGAACCGATTTGGCTTCAAATCGCAAAGGAAAGGCTGGAGGTCTGAGACTAAACCTTGGAGAGGATGATGAACTTCGGTATGGTCAGCCGATTACGATGTGCCACAAGTTAGAATGTGTGGGATCACAGAAGCCATGAGCAGCTGTTCAGTCAGAGAGTGCAGGGGGGAGCAACAATTTGAGGCGGTTTAAAGGATCGATTCAAGTAGTCCGTAAGCGACTGATGAGGGTTGCTACCGAAGCTGAGCAGAACAAAAAACATTGCTAAGAAACGCTCTTTGAGCATTTATGGGAAAACGATGAGAATGCGAACATCAACACGAATTGCAGTGCTGTCATAAACTATGACCATACAATGGATTCCAATAAAGAATACGCTATTCCACGAACGAGATTCGTGTCTGCTATACAACCGCAGTATCTACGCACATAAAGTCCATGCGAAATGCATCAAACGACATATGGAACGACTGCTGAACTAGAAACAGCAAGAAAAGCTTGGTTTGCCAACACCCATAACGTCTGGGCGTCAATTGAGTGCAAAGGGTGAGCGACCCACGTTTCATGCTATGAAGGTTCACCTTCCATTATTCAGCATACGGCTCAAGGGTTCTGTCAACCATTGGATGATACCCAAAACGACGGAGCCACTGCAATCTGAGTGCGTACGATCCGGGCGTTGCTCGTTAGGACAGAAACCGACTTTTCATCTTCGGTACTCTACGACGAAACTTCCGTTTTGTTTACACGCAACCAAATAATCGGTAGGTAAAGGTTTATCGTTTACTGTCGTGTCGCACTGCGGTCGAAAGCTGACCATAACAATTAGGTACTTTCAATACATTTGACAGCGCCTTTGTGACCTGGATGGCCAATATCGGGCTACACTTAAAACTACATACAGACACGATTAACGAACCAACATCAGCTATACACGAACGGCTGCGAATACGAATATGTCAGCCTCGCTAACATTTGCTCGAGGTCATAACGACTACTCGAACATTAGTTATGCATATGTTAAATTCGAATTGAATGATTAAACTAATCGAAAGGCGTTTGCACGCGCTCAATAGACCACGGGCACTTACTGGATAGCCACGTATCATGTGACGAATTAACGAGACAGTGTTGAGAACAATCTGTAATTGAAGACCAGTTGCCCATGGTAGATTGCGTCTGAGGCTGCCACAGGTCGCCATCCAACATCTGCTGATCGGATTCCACTCTATAACGGCTGAACTTGCGATTACTACAAGGTCGTTATCGTGCAGGCCTATCTATCCTTGGATTCGAGTGTGTCAACCAAGTGACAAAGTTCTGAGCTAGGACTGAAATTAGAGTAGTGGCAGCACTTTGGTCTAAAGGCCGGAAACGGCATTCTCAAAGCAGAGAACGTCGCGCCCTCTGGAATCCATCGCCGTTATTCGAGTGCTGAAAATTTGTGTAAGATAGCGCGTTGCCGCGCTGAATCTGCTGGAAAGACGTGAGTGCATCACTGTCAAAAATGTTACGGTCCCTGAGTGGAACAACGCAAGGATAAGTCTGTCGAGAAAATAAGCCATGGTGAACGCTGTGAACTGTAAATAAATGTCTCAAAAAACACTGTATCTCGAGAAGGTACCTTCAAAGGTAATAATCGAACTGAACCGCAAACTCTTGATGAACTTTTCTACGGAATGGGAAGAGATCGTCTGGCGAGCAGGACTGACGGGCAGTGGGCCAATCGCCCGTTCACTGTACGACATAAGAGTCTTGTATCCTCAGGAAAATTCATGGCCTATGTGCTCGTTCGGCAGTACGTATACTTCTGCAAACCATTGAAGCGGTACCATGTACAAGAGAAAGTCAGTACACTACTTGGTTAATTTCCTAGAGTGGAAAACATGATAGATATCTATTACTTGTGTGGAAACAAAGAAATAGAGCGTTTAACCCTTCTGTGGAGGGATAAGTGCTAAAGATTGTCCATATCGTTTCAAAACAAACCGTGGTGAAGTCTTACCGACTCTAGTACTTTCGCCAGACCATCCTTTTATGAAGGACAACGATCGCGAAAGTCACACATGTACCGCGAAAAATCGCTGCCGCCGAAAAACGCGTGAGCGGATGAAAACAGCACACTGCCAAAAGAAATGCCAAACTAGTAGGTTGTATTGGACGGACCTGATGCAGACATTGCCTCACAGATGTACCTGTTTCAAAGGATAGACCGTGTGGTCTCATTTTGATCCTTTTAATCGTAGATGTTACATAAAGAAGCTCACTTCTATGTTTCATACTCCGCAGGACGGGAAGGTGCGGTTCACTTATGGGACGAAAAACCGGAATGGGGAGGGATCCTCCCAACCGTCCCAACCGGCGGGGTCAGCAAGACCGCTGCGCAAATGCTTCGCGGTCTGCTACCCCGCAGTATCCGTCCCGTCGATACGGGACCCGTCTTGGCGACGAAGGTTGCGTTACTACAAAACTCCATTTTCATCTCCGATACTCTACGACGAAACTTCCGTTTTGTTTACACGCCATAATCGGAACAATGTTTCAAAGGCCGGAGGGGGTAGAAACGGGGCAAACGAAAAACTAACGAGGTTGAACTTTCGAATGCTCAGGGTGATAAGCCCTAGCTTCCTAGTATCCTAAATAAAGGGATCACCACCCTGAATTTTCGGAAGCACGATCGCTCGACTCATAGCCGACGAAGAGCTCGATCGGAAAGCAATTTTTAGGGTGTAAATTGATTGCATCAAATGACATATGTTTTTTGAAAGAACGATCTTCAGAAATTTCAGAAAAGTTATAGTACTTCCTCGAGAGCACCAATCGCGTAATCTATTTATCCTTAGGAATCTGCAAAAAGATGAATGCGAAGGATGTTATGAACGTGGAAACCCTCATGATTAGCAACAGTTAGGGTACTTTTAGAAGGAAAATAATTTCAATTTTTGAAGTATTAATGTCACATGAGAACGCAATTGAGAAAGGTATAATCTTTTGAAAAAGGGTTACTCATAAATTCAATTAGTTGTTGTTCAACTCATGAAAAAGGAAGATCTGAAACCATTTTTGACTTTTTAAAACAAGTCACAGTTGGTGTGCTGTGTGTGTGTCGCCAAGAACAGAGCGAGAATACTTTATTGCCAACCGCGTGTCACTTTTATACCCTCACTCAAACCTATCACTTTCACTCTTCTTGATCTCTTCTCATTCCTCACATTCGCACGTACTCTCACACTCCCCTACACCTCCCCCTAGTGACCCAACGGTCACTCGAGGTGCGAATGCTTTATTTCCATTAGCGTGAAACCTTCGTCACGCCCTATCTGTGGGCGAGGGGGCATCTACCTCCCCCTCCCAGTCCGACCGCTCCCTACTTCTGCAACAACACAATAATAAATAAAACATTTATTACATAGCCGACATCACAGGGCCTCGCCATTTCCACGGCCCTCAAATCTTGGCCCCTCAGCGGACCTACTCCTGGAGCGCACGACTGGGCTTCTTCCGGCCCTCCTTGGTCGGCTCCTTGATCGATCCAGGCCTCTTCCGGCCCTCCTGCCTCCTCTCGACGGCGAACGGCTCAGCCGCCCTCTTGAGCATGAGCGACTTCTCCTTCTCGTGGCGGAAGAACTCCGCTCTCTTCTGCGAAGATCCCTCTTGAGTTCCTTCAAGGCCGCCCACAGCGCCCGGCCACGACGCTGTGGGCGGCGTTTCGGCCTCCCAGGAACCACTTGTGGGCCCGGTGGGGCCCACACCACCGGCACCACTGCGGGTGCCGGGGGCGGCCCCACCGCCCCGCTGCACGTCCCCACCGGGACTACATAAATTGGGGGGCTCGTGTGCGGACCAATCTGGCCCGCTCCCCCGACGACCACTGGAAGCTGCGTCTGCGGCTGGTGGCCCACTGGAAACATAACTGAGCTTCATACTCCTTCTGGCCTCTTTTATAGGGCCTTGCCAGTCTCACAAAAGTCCATGTGCAGCCTTTGCCAAACCTTCTTCGGCTCTTCCATGGATGTAAAGGTATATGGATGTAAAGGATATCTTCACCGGATCTTTACCCATTACTGCACATGTGCTGCACTTCTTCGCCACCTTCCTCTACCGCTTTATCCATGCCTGGGAACCATATCTTGGTTCTCGCCAGGCTAATCATCCTATTCCTACCATAGTGGCTATTATGCAACATCTTCAGCACTACTTGCTGAAACTTCTTGGGGATACCACCCTAAACCCCCATAGTATACACCCATTGTGTATCGACAGAGCTGCTTTCTTCACCGCGTACGGTTTCAGCCTTCATCTCTGACCTTCACTGGCCAACCCTTCTGCATATAATTAACTACCATCTGTAGCAGAGGGTCTTCTTTGTGGCCTTGGCTATCTGGGCCTCTGTTACAGGCAGATTTTCCACTGCTTCTTCTGCCATTTTCTCCACATACAGCTCATTAACTACCATTTCAGCACTAGGTAATTCTCTTGGATCGGGTAATCTCGACAACCCGTCCTGCATTGCCAAACTCGGTAGTCTTCCTGTACTCAATTTCGAACGAGTATAACATGAGCCTCAATGCCCATCTATGCAGCCTCTTCGCTGCTATCACCGGTAACCCTTGCTTGGGGCCAAAATCCTCACTAACGGTTGATGATCCGTTAGCAGCGTAAACCGGCGACCATAAAGGAAATTGATTAAACTTCTCAACTCCATATACTATTCCCAACGCCTCCTTTTCTATTTGGGCGTAATTCGTTCCTGTTTCGTCAAGGAACGTGATGCGTACGCAATTACTTTCTCACTTTTATCATCATATCTATGGTATAATACGGCTCCAATACCATATTCTGAAGCATCGGTAGCTAATACTACCGGAACATCCGGATTATAATGCGCTAATGTATCCGCAGCTGTAAGTTTTTCACGATTCGACTGAAGGCAGCTTTTTCTTCCGTACCCCACTTCCACGGTACACCTTTCCTCCGTAGGCTATTTAACGGCGCCGCCAACGTTGCTAAACTTGGGATAAATTTCCCATAGTATTGTATCATGCCTAGGTAAGACTCCAATTCTTTAAATTCCTAGGCTCTGGCATGTTCAGTATCGCCTTTAGTTTATTCGGAGATGGCCTGATGCCCTTCTCATCGACCACATGGCCTAAAAACTCCATCTCCTCCTTGAAAAACTCGCATTTTTCCCTTTTGAGGCGAAATCCTGCCTCATTTAATCTATTCAAGACTTTTTCTAGTCTCTCCAAGTGCGTCTTATCATCTGGACCCGTAACTGTAATATCGTCCAGGTAAATCAGTACCCTTCGATTCCGCCAGCGTCTCCTCCATTATCCGCTGGAATATTGCTGGCGCTGACGCTATTCCAAACGGGATCCGCGTATACTCAAATAGCCCTTTATGCGTATTAATTGTCGTATATTTCCTTGAGCTTTCCTCCAGCTCTACTTGCATATACGCATCTGAGAGGTCCACTTTGAGAACTTCTTGCCACCATGCAACATATGAAACAAGTCATCTGGCTTGGGCAATGGGTACTGATTGATATCTAATTGCGGGTTTACTGTGACCTTATAATCGCCACATATTCTTATTTTCCCGCCTGGTTTGGGCACAACTACTAGCGGTGTGGCCCATTTACTATGCTCTACCCTTCTTATCGTTCCATTTCGCACCATTTCGTCCAACTTCGCCTCCACTTTGGGCCTCAGTGCAATAGGTACCGGTCTAGCCCTAAAAAATTTAGGCACCACTGGATCACTTTTGAATTTAAACTCCGCTCGTGCAGTTGTGCACTTGCCCAAACCATCTTGGAACAACCTCTTGTTGTTATCCAAGATACGCACTATTTCTTTTTTGATTTCCACATTGGGCATCTGTTTCACATTGTGCACCAACTCATAATGCGGTCCACAATTAATCTGTAGCCTCCTAATCATGTCTCTTCCACACAAGGAGTGACTCGCCTCCTTGAATACATGTACATCCACCATCGCCTCCTTTCCCGGCGAACTTAATATGTAATGGAACTTTGCCTTGGAACGTAATGCGCTTATTATCAAATGCCGTTGCTGCCACCTCCGCCTTCTGCAACTGCGGTCGGCCTAGTTTATGCCAAGTCTTCTCATCAATAATAGACAGCGATGCGCCAGTATCCAATTCAAATGGAATCTTCTTTCCATTCACTTCCATATGTAGCATTCGCGGTGGCTCATCCGCCAACCGGTCTATTCCGCCTTGGACGGGCGTATCCCTAGCTACCGTTTCCTTATCAGAATGTTGTTCATTTTTACTGGCAGCGTCTGCAACAGCGGCATTCACCACTCGGATGGTACCGCCCGCTCTCTCTCTATCATGAGAGGCACCACTCGCCATCGTGGCACTGTAAGTTCCATTTGGAGGACTGCCAAATCCACCGTTCAGGCGATCCACTACTGCTCTGCTCATTTTGCATCGGCATACCGGATTCCTGCTCCCAGCTCTACGGCAGTGGGTAAGCGTGATTTCACTACCATGTTCACGCTCTGACTTACCAACTCCTCACCACTGCCGGAGCTTCCGGTGGGCTCCTCACACCAATGAACCTGGCGGGAGACTTTACGGCCTACTCTAGCATTCTTCCAACATGTCACTGCTAGGTGGCCCTTTTTCTTACATACTTTACAGTATGCTGTTTGCTTCCTGAAACACTCGTAACCGGCATGGCCTGGTGCTCCGCAAACTCTACACTTAAACTCCCTCCGAGCTGGGCCCTTGCTCGGTTTCCTCTTTTGCTCACTCGCTTGTGCGCGCCATGCCAACTGCCGGTTACGCATTCCTTACCTGTGCTACTCCTGCAGCTTGAGGTCCTTCCTTCAAATGTGGAGCGTTTTCTCCAACTCGCTCAAATGCTTCAGCCTGCTCCAGCGCCTCCTTCGATGTCAGGTCCTCTCTCTCCAGCAACCGCTTCCTCGTCTCTACCGAGAGCAATCCTCCGATGAAAACCATTGTTACCACCGCATCCCGGTGGTTCTTAATTTCCTCAAAGCCGCATGCATTCGCCGCCTTCTGCAGCTCGGCGTAGTATTCGTGCAGGGCTTGTCCTGGTTTCTGGACTTTCGACATGAGGCCAAAACGCTCTGCTAATACCAGCTTCTTCGGCTGGTAATGGCGTTCCATGGCTTGCCGAAGATCCTTTAGCTCCACCTCCTCCAGCTCTCGGCCCTGCAGGAGTGATTCCAGCAATTCATAGTTCGAGTTTCCCACCTCCTGCAGGAAGATCAGCCTCTGGTCTTTTTCTTCTGTCACCTTCCTCAAGACGAGAAAATTGGGGAACAGCCTCCACCAGGTTCGCCACGATGTCCCCGGCACATATGGCCCTGGGGCACGACCCCGGTACACTTCAGTACCGGGCTCCATCATCGTGGTTCTGCCTCCTCCGCTTGCTTCCACTTTGCAGCCTCCTTGCCCAGCCTCCACAGTCGTCATCCTGATCGCCAGTTGGTGTGCTGTGTGTGTGTCGCCAAGCAGAGCGAGAATACTTTATTGCCAACCGCGTGTCACTTTTATACCCTCACTCAAACCTATCACTTTCACTCTTCTTGATCTCTTCTCATTCCTCACATTCGCACGTACTCTCACACTCCCCTACACCTCCCCCTAGTGACCCAACGGTCACTCGAGGTGCGAATGCTTTATTTCCATTAGCGTGAAACCTTCGTCACGCCCTATCTGTGGGCGAGGGGGCATCTACCTCCCCCTCCCAGTCCGACCGCTCCCTACTTCTGCAACAACACAATAATAAA